CTATCTTAGGAACAAACCCTGCACCAGTTGTTGCCGACTATAGCTCAAGAGGCCCTGCACCAAGTTACCCAAACATCTTAAAACCTGATGTTATGGCACCAGGGACGTTAGTGTTAGCCGCATGGGTTCCAACAAGTACTGTAGCAACCATTGGGGACAAAATTCGCTTGTCAAGTGATTTCTCTCTTGCAACCGGCACATCAATGGCTTGCCCCCATGCCTCTGGCGTTGCCGCACTTCTCAAAGGTGCGCATCCCGAATGGAGTCCAGCAGCTATTCGATCTGCCATCATGACCACGGCAAACACCCTTGACAATACTCAGAGTCCGATCAAAGACATGGGATTCAACTATGACATAGCGTCACCTCTAGCCATGGGGGCAGGACATATTAATCCAAATGCAGCGCTGGATCCAGGGCTCATATACGATGCTACAGCTCAAGATTACATAAGTCTTTTGTGCACCATGAATCTCACTCGGAGCCAAATTGCATCTATTGTAAGATCAACTGACTACAGTTGCCTCAACGCTTCCTCTGATTTGAATTATCCATCCTTCATTGCATTGTACAACAATGGAAGTACAGAGGTGTTGAATAAGATATTTGAGAGGACTGTTACAAATGTTGGGGATGGTCCTGCAACATACAAGGCCATTGTGACAGCTCCAAGGGGTTCCGTTGTTGAAGTGAATCCACAGACATTAGCTTTTCAGGAGAAATATGACAGGCAAACCTATTCACTGACCATAAGATACACAAGTGACAACACTGCAAAGGTTAGTTTTGGTTCAATTACATGGTCAGACTTTGGAGGGAAACACGTTGTCAGAAGTCCAATTGTGGTGTCACCAATAACCACTGTTTGGGCTTGATAATGTCATTCCATTTTAATTTTGTTGAATTCCTGAATAGGGCTTCTTCCTTTTTTTTTTTTCCTTTAATTTCATCATGAATAAGAATTTTTTCCTTAGTAGGGGAAGGAGTGGGATTTAAGAAGTACCGTGAATAAGAATTGTTGAATGGTAACTAGTTTAATTGCTGTGTTCAAGGTAATTTAAGATCTTTGAGTTTAAGGCTGACTCATTAATTACTACTATGAAACTTGTAAAGTAATTTTTTTTTTTGAGTCAATCGTCATTTATCTGCCTTACACTTACTTTAGCCTGTTCTAGAGAGAGGGCCCAACTAGACCTACAGGAGAATCGACGAGAACTGAACCATCATCGGACCAAACGGATGCATTACGCACCAGTATAGTTTTAGAGGAAGCCACTTAAAGTGGCAAGTAACGGGAGATAAAGTTTGAACTCCTAACCTCTCATCTCATCAAACCTTAAAGATTTTGGTGGTGGCTAACAGCGACTTGTAAAGTAACTTAAAAGTACTTCAACCTCTGAAAATGTATAATATGAAATAGAATCTTAAAAAGGAAATAGCAAAAATAACCCCAGTCCCAGATTATTCTGTGAAATCTCCATCTTAAATAAAAAATGCTGCTACTCCAAACATTTTATCCAGCAAGAAAATTTGATCTGAGGGCCTGAGGTACTTAATCTTCTCTTGGTTGTTTTACAAACAGGGCAATTCTGGCCATCTCTATAATTAAGCCCAGCTAGATTACAACAGCAAAGGTTGACCGATGAACTCAACTTTGTTCATTAATCCCCCGGCCTTTCCTGTGTCCAATCTTACATATCCTGGCCAGGCCCATTTAGTTCAGATGTATTTGGGCAAATTATTGATTTAGCCTTTAGAGGGTCTCTCTAGCAATTCAATACAAAATCCCCGTCCAACACCACCCCGGCCCAAAAAAAAAAAAAAAGAATCTACAAAATAATAAACATACATTAAAAGAACATTTTATATTTTATTGGAGCTTTCAGGAGTTAAAAAGTGAAATTTACTAGGGGAAGGTTGGATTGAGTTGTTTGGTAAAGTGGGAGATTTGACCTTGGTTCAAAACCTTTCAATTACCAAAAAAATAAAAAAATGTCTTTAAACAAAAAGTGAAATCTAGTAGTTGTGGATTTTGGAAAGTCAATTAGAGGCGTGATGTGTTACAAGAACCTTAGATCACGCCTTCATGACTGATCTACCATTGGCATAAACAATTAACATCGGTTTATTTTGATTTCTTTGCTTAATTTGTAAGCAACGAACGGATTGTTTTGATTTCTTCGTTAATTTGTAAGAAACAAACTTTTATCTGTTTCTCCCCTCCTCCAACTTCTCTCTTTTTTCTCATCTTCTTAGAAGGTCTTTCTCTTCACAAGCAGAAGGCCTTTTTCTTTAGGAGTGAGACCACCATGAACTTCCTCCCATAGATTTCATTTTATTATATTTTTCAATAAAATCTCTTCAAAGTTTTCTTAGTGAGAATCCTTTGTTTCTCCTAGGCATTTGTAGTGAGAATTTTCTGTTTTTTCTAAAACTTCTTAGTGAGAATTTTCTATTTTTATCCTCATTTTGTTGTTTGATTCGAATTTACTTCAAATCTAGTTATCAAATTTGAAATTTTTTTAGATATTGGATCTATTTCAACAGATTTCATCAGTGTTTAAATCGTTCATAATTAATAGATTTGGCAATTGTAACATGCACAGAAGGGAGTTTGCACCAGGCAATTTTGTAAGAAACAGGTCCAAAATAATATTATATGCTTAAAATCACTTGTTTTCTCAAGAAGTACGAGGACATATATAGTTTTATGTTATAACACCATTTTGGCCCTTAAATGGGTGATCATACTACATATTGCACCTTGAAAGTTTATTTCGAAAGATTTGTATTCGCACCCTAACATATAGAGGTGCTCTGAATTGGATAAATGGCTAACATCTCTGAGTTTTGGATGGAAAATGCCGCCTTCATCCGGAAAAGCACCTTTTTCCTTTGGGTCACGGACTATGCCAATACACACACACACACACACTTATATATATATATATATATATATATATTTATTTATTTATATATAAAGGTTTATTATGCTTTATAACGAAATTCTGTTTTTGGCTTTTGATCTTTTACTGAAAGCAAATTACAAATAAATATGAAGCTATTTACAACTCCCCCTAGTTTGCATTTCCAATGGATGTTAATTGTGCCAATTTGTTTTTTTTTTAAACTGCATTTTGAATTTTATGAACTTGACACCTCTCTATTTGTTTAGGGACATTGAAAGGTAACATATTCGGCCGGTATTGGCAGAGTATTATTGATAATAGAGTTATTTTCTTGGACAGATTAATGATGGTTAAGAAGTCAATGTCATTATGGTTGTTTTTTTTTTTTTTTAAATATCATTTTCATATCTATGTGTAATGTGAATGGAGTAAATGAATGATACAATAACATACATCCAAACGTTCAACCCAATGAATAGCTTGAGGGTCTGTTTGGTTATTCTATTTTTCACTTGTTTTAGAAACTGGGGGTGTCAATTGGGTTTTTTGAGTCAGACTTTGATAAGTCCAAATTCGACTCATAAATTATATGAATTTTTTGACTTTGACCTTTCAGGTTTTAGACTCAAATTAAAAAGTTCAAACATAACTTACACTATTATATGAGTTTCGAACTCAAATTGGACTCGGCCAAAGCTAACAATTAAATATATAATTATATATAATATATAATATATAATTATAAATTACTATAAATTTATATATAAATTATTAACATTTTATGTCATAATATGTGTATGCATATGTGCACGCGCGCACACACACACGCATTCTCTCTCTCTCATATACAGGTCGAGTCTCAATCTAATTTGAGATTAACATGATCTAAGTTCAACTTACATTTAGTTCGGACTTATTATTTAGGCCCAAATTCGACTGGGCACAATTAAATTTTAGGTTAGTAATTTTTTTTGGTCAAACGGGTTGACCTCAAACTGGTCCACCCCCTTGACAATCCTATTAAAAACACAAAATTTGTCTAAAACACCATCTACACTAACATTATAAAATAACCATTAGTTTTACAAAACACAAAAAATACATTAAATAAGATACCGTTGACAAAGATGGGCACCTCTAGCCTCTAGTGGGTGGTAGAGGTTGTGGTGAGAGGGAGAGGGGGGGGGGAGGAGAGCTTTGTGAAAGTAAGGTATTTTAAATAAATATTAACATTTTTTAAACAACTATTGCAATAGCTTATAGTAAAGTTTTAACTTGTTGGCACAATTAACTTCAACATATTGCAAAATTTTCAATCTTATGATCTCGGGCTTAGTGGAAGAAAAGAAATTGTTCCTTCATATAACATGATATGGAAATATTTTTCCCCTAAAACAAATTTGTTACTAATTAATTTTCCCACTAGGAACTTACCACTAATAATCTACTTCACCATATAAATATCTCAAAAAAAAAAATTTTTTATCAAGGACGGCCATTTGTTTTTTCTTGGGTAAAATTTCCTGTTTCTAATATATTACTAGGAGCTGGAGGAAGTATAATATATGGCAAAACGAGTTGAAAGCTGTATTCCAAACATTGCGAGAAAAATCTGCATGTCGCAGTTGAGGACTAATAACTTTTTCACTATCATTGCATATAAGCTTCTAGTTCTAGGTCATGCTCTAGTTGATTTGCCTTCACTGTAAATACGTCTAAAGTGCAATAGCATCATAGAAGAGTTTGGTGCAGGAAATGGACGGATTTAAAGGTGTTCGTACCTTTCTCCTCCAATTTAGTGTGGTTTCTACTGCCATTTCATGCATGCCAGTCTAGCTTTAGCAGAGAGGTCAGCATATATTATTCACATGGACAAATCAGTCATGCCCAGGGCACTTGACTGGTACTCATCCATTCTTGACTCTATCAAATCTGCCTCATTAGTCAGTACAGCTACTCTTCAAAATGAAGCACGTTTACTCTACTCATACAAAAAAGCCCTAAATGGTTTCAGTGCATTATTGTCTTCAAATGACCTAGAATCTCTTAAAGCCTGGATTTCTTTCAGCTTATCCTGACAAACTTGTTACCATGGGCAAAACCCGCACCTCTGATTTCCTATATTTGAATCCAGTAACCGGACAATGGCCGGCTTCAAACTTTGGCAAAGATGTGATTGTTGGGGTGGTTGATTCCGGTGTTTGGCCAGAAAGTCCAAGCTACAAGGACGATGGAATGACACCGACTCCTTCCAAGTGGAAAGGAACGTGTGAGGATGGAGGAGGACTCGTACTTTATCCATGGTTGCTGGAAATTATGTTCCTGATGCCTCATTTTTAAGCTATGACTAGGGATTGCACATCGAGCTAGATTGGCCATGTATAAGGTTGGATGGAAAGAGGGAATTTATGCATCCGATGTTGTTGCTGGCTTGGACCAAGCCGTTCCTGATGGTGTTGACATCATATCACTATCTATGGACCTACACGTGTGGCCTCTACATGAAGATCCTATACCTATAGCTTCATTTGGTGCAATGGAGATGGGGGTTTTAGTTTCTTGTGCAGCCGGAAATAGGGGTCCAAGTCTTGGAAAATTATACAACGGCTTCCCATGGACAATGACCATTGCACCAGGTACAGTCGACCGCTGGTTTGCAGGAACATTGATCTAATGGCACCGGCCGGGCACACTGATCTTAGCCTCATGGCTTCCGAATAGTCCTGTAGCCACAATTGGTAGCAAATTTAACTTGTCAAATGACTTTCGTCTTGTAAGTGGTACATCTATGGCTTGTCCCCATGCTTCTGCCATTGCTGCACTCCTTAGAGGTGCACACCCTGAGTGGAGTCCTGCAGCTATTCGATCTGCCATGATGATCACAGCCGATGCCCTTGACAATACTCGCACTCCAATCAAAGACATGGGATATGGCTATGATATTGCTACACCTCTTGCCATGGGGGAGCAGGACATGTTAATCCCAACAAAGCATTGGATCCAGGTCTCATATATGATGCTACCCCACAAGATTACACAAATCTTTTGTGCTCTATGAATTTGACTCATAGTCAAATTTCATTTCATCAATCACAAGATCAACTAGCTACAATTGCTCAAACCCTTCATCTGACTAAATTTATCCATCCTTTATTGCTTTCTACGACGAGGGTAGTATGAAATTGTTAGCTAAGACTCTTAGGAGGACACTTACAAATGTTGGAAGTGGTGCTAGAAAATATAAGGCCGTGGTGACAGCTCCAAGAGGTTCCATTGTTGATGTCAATCCACAGAATATTAGCTTTTCAAGAGGCAAATGATAAACAAAGCTACTCCCTCACCATACAATACACAGTGACAATAATGGGATGGTTAGTTTTGGCTCATTGACATGAACTGAGGTGGGAAGCAATCACACTGTGAGGAGCCCTATTGTAGTCTCTCCATATGTCCAATGGACTTATACTGATTCCGGGGAGGGTTAAGTACACTTATTTTGTCAGAATTTCAAACTGATTCCAGGATTAAGTACACTTATTTTGTCAGAATTTCAGTAATACGGTACTGAAAGGAAAAGGATGCTGCTGTCATGCAAGAACAGGCTTGTTCAACTATATTCTCATTGCAATATAATGGGAACCAAAAAAAGAGGAAAAGAAAGAACAATCGAATGCTCCCTGGCATTTTCGTTTTGTATATCTGAATGTTTAATTAGCTAGTCATTCAGATTGCAGTTCTACTTCTTGTGAAAGTTTTCTTATGAAGTATTATTTGTTTCATCAAACAATACAAGCGATATTTACTCTCCTTCATGCATAGAAGCTTGGAACATTTCATTATAGCCTTTCTTTTTCAACTACCAATTACCCTTCACTGGTATGCTGCTTCTCAGGTGCTTTGCTCACTTCTCCATTTCACTTTCTGGTATGTCACAAATGTCAGTTCATTTCACTTTGCCCTTTTTTCTCAGATTTTTGTTTTTTTTTTTAATCTTGTTTTATTTGGGAGGCCATGCATTTTGCTCAAATTGATTGTATATATGCTTTTCTTGCACTCTTTTTGTTTACTTAAGGTCACGGATATTCATGTTCATGGATCCAATTCTTGATCCACTGCCAATTATAATGGATGATGAATTCCTATAGTGTTTTCTTACTAGTTTGATAATAAATTAAAGAAATAATTCTGCAATTTTCAGCCTCCAAGCCAAAAGGATCACCACAGAGGCCGTCCGTGCAAAATCTTTTATATTTGTTTTACTTTTGCCTAATTGAAATCCAAAGCTTTTTATTTGGACTATGCAGGTTTAAAATATTATGCAAATTATTTTATCCAAAAAAAAAAAATCTTTGTATCATTAAAATTCATGCTATTAACAAATAATCTTATGCAGTGTTACTATATATGGAGAGTCCCGCTGCAAAAAAAGTAGTATGTACATAATTTGTACTCTTTTTTTTTTTTTTTTTTTTACATAATTTGTACTCTTCTCTTCTCATAAAAATATTTTTTAAAAAATGTAGTGTCCATGAGTTGAAAAACGATTGAGCCAAATCGTCCCCTCCCTAGAAAAGTATACTAACAAGGAAGTAGAAAAGATAACAAGGGAAATTAACCAGCTTTTGGTTTCATATTTGCTCTGCGAATTTTGAGTCATATATGTTGGATAAATGGCTACAACAATGTTAACACTATCTGCTTGAGTCGTGCGTAGCACTGTCCTAAGAAACTATTTCATGAAATTGAAATGTTTCCCCAGGATTAAACAAGCCTTCTTCTTTTTATTGCGAACAAGAAAGACAAACTTTCTTCTTGTTGCAAACTAGAAGGACCAGAACTAGCAAATTAAAATCAGGAAGATATCAACTAACAAAAAATAAAAGAGAGAGAGAGAGAGGGATAGAGCAGCTATCAAAAGATATTAACTGAAGCTGCTGGGGTGATTTTCTGAGGAAGGAATGGATCCTATTTATAGACTTCAGAATGGGTTGCAACCCTTCTCACTTCCGATGTGGGACAAAGACTGCAACTCTTCTCACTTCTCAATGTGGGACAGAGAAAATAATACTTCTCATTTTTCGATGTGGGACAAAGAATATTTTTGAAATACTATATATTTTACAACAATCTCCTTCCTATTTCAAAAAATTATTTGGATAAAAAGAAGAATGTTAAAAGTACTCTGCTGGATTTGGTTGAAATGTAATTAGTTTGGTGTCTTTTAGACTATGAACCAAACATAGATTGATAAAACATGATCTACAAAATTATTGGTGAAATATAAATTTCTATGAACCAATAACTCTTGATGTATGACAGAGATTTTATCAATCACATTGCAACCCATAATTTGCTGTTAACGCGATTTTGCGCTTTTAGGCCGTGCGCCTGCCTGGTTATTTCATGAGAGCTCTAAAGATTTGACCAATGAATCTTATAGGAGCGGCCCCACTCCACTCTCATATAGGTGAATTCATCAAGTGTATATTGCTTTAACTACACCTCCCTAATGGGATATGAATTCATTAAGAGTTTTAACTCATCCTCACAATTACTCAAAGCACTTATCTCTAGAGGGACTTAAATTTGAAGTGCTTTACTATCAATATTGACTTGTTATTACCCATATGAACCTACTTCATGGGATCACCAATCACATAGGTTGGGTTACCGTCTCTATTGACAACTTGTTGGTCGAAGTCCAATTTCTTTCGTAGTTTGAAGAATCAATTTTCTTCCCACGGGTTTAGTCAGAGGATCGGCCAAATTCAACTCTGACTTTACATAATCAATGGAAATAATTCCATCTCTAAGCAGCTGCTTTACGACATCATGTCTCAATCTCATGTGTCGACTTTTACAATTATACGATTTATTTTTAGCTATGGCAATCGCTGCTTGACTGTCACAATGTATGGACACAGGAGGCAACAAATCCTTAGTTGAAGGAATATTAGCTAAGAAATTTCTCAACCACTCGGCCTCAGTCCCTGTCAGTTCCAGAGCTACAAACTCTGACTCCATTGTTGATCTAGCAATGATTGTCTGTCTAGCAGATTTCCATGCTATTGCACCACCACCAAGGGTGAACACATAACCACTAGTGGATTTCGTATCATTTGAATCAGAGATCCAATTAGCATCACTGTAACCCTCTAATACAGTGGGAAATCCACTATACAGGATACCAAAATTCATGGTACCTCTCAAATATTTCATCAGTCTGACTAATGCAAACCAATGCTCACGGTTGGGATTATGAGTATATCTACTCAGTCGACATACAACATAAGCTATATCAGGTCTAGTGAAATTCATCAGATGCATCAGACTCCCAATAATCTGAGCATATTTAGACTGAGCAATTGGGTCACCATTATTTTTCTTTAATTGAGTGTTAGCATCATAAGGAGTACTCACAGGTGTCACATCATAATTTTCAAACTTCCGAAGAAGTCTCTCTGTATAATGTTCTTGAGACAACATTATACCATCACATTTCCTTATGATTTTAACACCCAATATTATTTTGGCTTCACCCAAATCTTTCATATCAAAATTAGAAGACAAAAAATATTTAGTACTATTTACAATATCTAGACTAGTACCAAATATAAGCATGTCATCCACATATAAACTGATTATCACATATTGATCATTTATAATTTTGACATATACACATTTATCCACTTCTACAGACGAAAATCCATCTTTCATCAATACTTGATCAAATTTCTCATGCCACTGTTTAGGAGCTTGTTTTAGACCATAAAGAGATTTAATTAGTTTGCAAACCTTATTTTCTTGTCTAGGTATAATACATCCCTCAGGTTGAAACATATAAATTTCTTCTTCTAAATCACCATTTAAAAAGGCTGTTTTGACATCCATTTGATGAATAACAAGTTTATGGATAGAAGCTAAAGCAAATAAAACTCGAATAGACGCAATTCTAGTTACTGGTGCAAATGTATCAAAATAATCAATATTTTGTTTTTGAGAAAATCCTTTTGCTACTAAACGAGCTTTGTACTTTTCTATAGAGCCATCAGAGTTATATTTTCTTTTAAAAATCCATTTGCAACCAATAGGTTTTGCACCAGGAGGTAAGTCTACCAAAATCCAAGTTTTATTTGACAAGATAGAATCAATTTCAGATTTAATTGCTTCTTTCCAAAATTTACACTCAGGAGAAGAAATAGCATCGCAGTATGTTAAAGGATCATTATCAACAAGAAAGGTTTGGAAATCATTTCCAAATGAAAATTCTTTTCTTGGCCTTTTGCTCCTTCTTAATTCCTCAATTGGAATAATTTCCTTATTTATTTCAACAGGTGCATGAGAAATTTTACTAGATAGTGGAAAAATATGTTCAAAAAATTCAGCATTCTTTGTCTCAATAATTGTATTACAATCAAGTATATCACTTCTTAACACAAGAAATCTATATGCAGCACTATGTTCAGCATATCCAATAAACATACAATCAGAAGTTTTAGAACCTATTTTCCTTTTCTTAGGTTCAGGCAACAAGACTTTAGCAAGACACCCCCAAACTTTTAAATATTTCAAATTTGGTTTATAATTTTTCCATAACTCATAAGGTGTTTTGCCAGTCTTTTTATGTGGGATTCTATTTTGTAAGTGACATGCAGATAATATAGCTTCTCCCCATAAATTATCTGGATCATGAGAACTAATTAACATAGAGTTCATCATTTCTTTTAACGTTCTATTTTTCCTTTCAGCTACTCCATTAGATTCTGGTGAATAAGGTGGAGTTATTTCATGTATTATGCCTTCCTGTTCACAAAGGTTATCTAAAGTTAAATATTCTTCACCCCTATCTGATCTAATTCTTTTTATCCTTTTATTAAGTTGATTTTCTACTTCAGACTTATAGGATAAAAAGGCATTATAAGTATCATCTTTATTTCTAAGTAAATAAACTTTGGTATATCTAGAATAGTCATCTATAAATGTGACATAATACCTTTTCCCACCTCTAGTCATTGTTTGTTTTAAATCACCTAAATCAGTATGAATTAAATTTAATAATTCAGTTTCTCTATGGACAGTTATACAACTTTTCTTTGTTATTTTAGCTTCTGCACATATTTCACATTTGTCCATATTATCATTAATACCAGAAATTAGACCACATGATTGCATTTTCTTTATATAACCAATATTAACATGTCCCAATCTAGCATGTCATAAAGAAATGGAATCAACAATATAAGCAGAAGAAGATGCATTTTCATTGATCACATTGGAAATATTAAGTACAAAAAGTCCCTGATTACAATAGCCCTTGCCCACAAATACATTATTTTTTGTCATTATAATCTTTTCAGATTCGAATGACACTTTCACCCCAACTTTTCCAAGCAAAGCCACAGAAACAAGATTTGCCCGAATATTTGGAACATGCAGCACATCATTAAGAGCCAAAGTATTTCCTGAAGTGAGTTTCAATAGTACTTTGCCCTTACCCAGAACTTTAGCAGTTCGTGAGTCTGCAAGGTAGACTATTTTTTCATCATCCCCTATTGAAGTATAGGAGGAAAACGCTTCTCAATTTGCACATATGTGCCGAGTAGCCCCAGAGTCTACCATCCATTCTTTAACATTAGCTGCAATGTTCACTTGAGAGATGACTGCAGCAATTATTTCATCTCCTTCGGTTAAATTAACCTTAGGAGGATTACCATTTGCTTTGTCACCTTTATTGTATCTATACAGGGCAGCATAATGTTCTGATTTTCTACAATAATGGCAATTGCCTTTCTTTTTCTTAAAGTTGGGAATATTAGGCTTGTAATTGGATTTTTTTTTTTGATCTATTATACTGGGACTTATTGACTTGCATATAGCTACAATACACGTCAAATAATTCATTTAAGAGTGTTTGTAAAATAGTATGCCTACATACCTTATTGGCATATTGCCACGATTCTTGTATTTTGACATCTGTGGTTGAAGCAGGTTGGGACTCCGTTAGTGCATAGACCACTCCATGGATGTCGAGTAGTGAGTGTACTCGTTCTTGCCACCTTTTGAAATTTTCATTGGCAAAGACTTCAACTCTGGAGATATCCGGAAAAGGCTTGGCGAATGGTAGTGCAACTGCAACGGCCGCGGATGAAGGTTGTGGGGTGTTAACACTGTCAGATGCCAAATAGTTTCTTAGATTATTGGATAAATGGCTACAACAATGTTAACACTATCTGCTTGAGTCGTGCGTAGCACTATCCTAAGAAACTATTTCATGAAATTGAAATGTTTCTCCAGGATTAAACAAGCCTTCTTCTTTTTATTGCGAACAAGAAAGACAAACTTTCTTCTTGTTGCAAACTAGAAGGACCAGAACTAGCAAATTAAAACCAGCAGATATATATATATATATATATAAAAGATGATAACAGAATTATCAGGAAGATATCAACTAACAAAAAATAAAAGAGAGAGAGAGAGAGGGATAGAGCAGCTATCAAAAGATATTAACTGAAGCTGCTGGGGTGATTTTCTGAGGAAGGAATGGATCCTATTTATAGACTTCAGAATGGGTTGCAACCCTTCTCACTTCCGATGTGGGACAAAGACTGCAACTCTTCTCACTTCTCAATGTGGGACAGAGAAAATAATACTTCTCATTTTTCGATGTGGGACAAAGAATATTTTTGAAATACTATATATTTTACAACAATATATGCGGAACAGAGTAAATGAATAATACGAGGAATTAATACGAGGTGCTTTCCTGCTTAGATTTCTGGATTTCCCTTTCTGCTCAGAATAGTTTTCTAGTGCGGCTAAATAGACTACAGGACAGAAGCTAAAAGTAACTTGTCTGATCAGCTAAACTAACTCATAATAGGTATATAGAAAATTGAGAAAGACAAGCAAATGAAGAACTTTGCTAACATATACTGAGAATTTCACTATTGCAATTGAAGTAGTTTTTAATAATAGAAAACACAAATAGAAATTAAAATAAGGGTTATTATCACTTTACCCCCTTAAACTATATCACTACTATCAATTTACTCTCTAACGTTATCTTTTAGTCACTTTACCCCCATAAGTAATTCAACTCAACATATTAAGAAATTTTGGACAAAAATATCCTTTTATTTTATAGCATTATTACATTGTTATTATCGCTTTATTAAATTTGGATTATAGTGATACAATCACTTTAGTTCCTAATATTATTTTCTAGGCATTTTACCTCATCATTAATCTAACGAGTATGGTCAAAAAATTTTAAATATATTTACCCTTTTTATATATAATTAAAAATAAAAAATTGGAATGGTTATTCTTCCTTTTTTTTTTCATTTTAAGCGATTGAAAAACATAAAAATAAAAGGATTTTCTCAAATTTCTTTTTTTCACACTTATTAATACTAGGAAAAGAAAAAGAGATAGGAAAGAAGGAGACAAAAATTAGACTTTACAAAAAAAGAAAATAAAGAAAAGTCTAACATTATCGTATTACTTTAAGGTTGTCGGGATTAGAATTGGAATTTGGTGGTAAACAAAAAAGTGAAATAATTTAAAATAATAAAAGTATTTAATTCTTTCTTATTTGTAATTTTTAAAAAAAAGAATTGAGCTCTCTCTCTCTCCCTCTCCCTCTCCATCTTTCTATTTTTTTTTCAATAATAATAAGATTGCCAAGAATAAAGAAATTAATACTTTGACTTTTTTCTTGATACTAAAAAGGAGAAGAGTCACTCTAAATTTTTTATTATTTTTATTATGCAAGGAGGAGGGTATTTTCTTTTAAAATTTTTTAACTTGCTAAGTTGGTTTAATGGTAGGATAAATTGCCTAAAAAATAACTCTAAGGGGTAAATTGATAATGAGACTATATTTTATGGGGATAAAGTGATAATAATTTTAAGGGTTAAACATGTCTTTTCACTTTAATTAACAAACTCCGTTTAGTTTGACCGTTAGTCTTGAGGCTAAAGTGACTAAAAAATAATGTTAAGGGGGAAATTGATAGTAGCACTAAACGTTAAGGGGGTAAAGTGATAATAACCCTTAAAAAAATAGTAACTACAATTCAAGATAAAAGAAGAAACATATAGAAATAAAAGAAAAGAAAAAAGATAAATCCACCGTCTTTGCTAACGAAATTCCAATTATGAAAATGAATAGCCAGCTAGAAATAATTTAGGCATGGTGGATTATTTACATCCCATCATTAACATAAATACCACTAAAAAGAATACAAAGCATTCATATTCAAAGAATACACATCTACTTAATTGAAAAAAGGTACATTTCACTTCATTTTGAACAATTTATCAAAAAAACTAACAAAATCGACACACATAACATCAAAGATGTTAGCAATAGAGCAATGCAAACAACACCTGAGCAAAGATATATAAATTTTACTTAGCATGAAAATTCAGGTCACTCAAATCTTTTTTTAAAAAAAAAAAAAAACTTATATTCAATTATTGAATAATTGATCCATTCTAATAGTCTATTACAAGTTGTTTGTCTTGTAAGAAAAAATAAATATATTAAAGTTGAGATTGGGGCTCGCTACTTCAAGTTAGTTCCCTAATCCAGTTCTTAGCACAAAATGGTGGGAAGATGTGCTCGATTATGCCTCAAATGGTGTCAATCCTTCTGCTAGCATAAAGATTTCAACAAACCATTTGGGGAACAAAGCCTGCACCGGTAGTGGCTGATTACAGTGCAAGAGGCCCTCCATCTTAGTTAGGCAACATTTTGAAGCCTGATCTGATGGCACCAGGAACCCTTAGCTTAGGTGCATGGCTTTCCAAATATTCCAGCAGCAAGAATTGGTACAAAAATTGGCTTGTCAAGTGATTATATATTCTTAATGTTCAAAGAGTGGCTGCTCCACATGTTTCTGACGCTGCAGCACTTCTTAAAGGTGCACATCCGAAATGGAGTCCTGCAGCCATTCGATCTGCAATGATTACCACAGCCGACGTCCTTGACAAAACTCAAAATCCCATCAAGGACATGGACTGCAGTCTTGATTTTGCTTCATCTCTAGCCATGGGAGCTGGACAAGTGAATCCAAATAAGGCATTGGACCCTGGTCTTACATATGATGCTACCCCATAAGATCACATAATCTTCTGTGCTCCATGAGTCTCATTCATAGCCAAATTACAACCATCACAAGGTTAACAAACCATAATGCTAACAAATCCTTCGTCTGATCTGAATTAGTCGTCCTTCATTGCATTGTACAATAATGAAAGTATAGGTACGTTAGCCAAGACATTGGATATAGTGCTTCAACTTATAATGCATGCAATAGTGACAGCTCCAAGTGGTTCTGTTGTTGAAGTAAACCAGCAGATTCTGAGTTTTAAAGGGGTATATGAGAAGAAAAGTTATAGCCTAACCATCCGCGATGCAGGCGACAAAAATGGGAGGGCTACTTTTGGTTCGATTCGATGGGTTGATGCTGAAGGCAGATACTTTGTGAGGAGTCCAGTTGTCGTGTCCCCAACAGTCAATGCTTCAGCATGATGAGCATACCCTGATTTCAAGAAACTTCTTTTTCCCTGTCAAGTTCCTATATGGAACACAGAATCCTTCGATTCTATGAACCTGATTAAGTAAGTCTGAATACCATCTTTAAATCCATTGAATAAGTGTGAGAATGCTTTGGCTATTTTCTGTTCCCCTCAAAAAGTTTCTGAATGCCTGATTTCTCCAAACAAGTTTCTAGGTTCTGACCTTGCTCATTCCAACCCATAGTGATACAAAAACTCTGAAACCAGTATACATATAGATTTTACCTCAGGCGCCTTCATCCTTACACAACGCATTCATTATTAATTCTTCTTTTCAAGAGTTCTACTGAACTCGTTGAATCAATGCTGAAACTGACTAATCACCTGATCCTAATCCCTAATATGACACTCAGTTAGACAACTTAGAAGACTTTTTTCCAAAGTACATTAAATATCTACCAAATAATTACAATTTACAACGATTCTTTTGTACTGACATGTCAAATAGTCAAAGACAAAAATTATTCAATTCAGATAGAATGATTCACCTTACATAGCACAATGAACAATGACAATACGGCATAAATCAGTGGAAGCCAGTTTCATCAACTCCAAAAACCAATGGATTCACCTTTCCTTATTTTATTTTTTTTTGACCTTTTTCCTTGGAAGTTTGAGAAATATTCGGGGCAAACGCTGGTTTCCACCTTTAAGTTGTTCAATGATTATTGATTAGCGATTACCTGTTAGATTGATCCATGCAAAAGGACAAGAAAGAGAAAATCTGTGTACAGAAGTCTGTCAAATTCATATTATCGTAGCCTAAAAATTGTCATTGCCATTGAAACAAGAGGTTAACACTTGCGATAATAGTAGTAGTATTGTGTGTTCATTGCAAAATATAAGCAAAAAGTCGTCTTATTAATGAATTCCTAGAAGAATTCGTCCTTCCTGTACGATTGTTATCAACCAAAAGCTCCAAGATTTACATTGACTTAATTAATGCAGGTTTTCTATGAAGTCAGAGGGGTGATTTTTACACTTGTATTAAATTTTTAGACAGATAAGATTAATTAAGGAAAGTATATTACATGCAAGTAATGGAGTATAGTAATTATTAATATGTGTGTGTATATATATTTACACGACAGTATACATGAAATTTAAGTGTGTTAACGAGTGCATGCTCGACACTTGTATTAAAAAAAAAAAAAAAAAAAAACCCTTGTATTAATAATCATTTGCTCTCCTTGGTACGTACTTCCCCCTTCCTTAATCCTTACTAAGGATGCATTTGGAAATGTTACCCACTTTATTGCACATGCAGCTCAACTTCTACTTCCAGATCTCAATTAGGAAAGACGAATCTACATGTTAGGGCATGAACAGTTGCTATTGGTCAAGAAAATTGATGGTGTAAATTACACATACATCCAATACTCCAAAGCCCCCACCTCCCAAAAAAAAAAAAAAATAGCAATCCAACAATTAAATTGAAATCCAAAATTTAAATAGTATAAAATTTTCTTACAAGTAAAATTGAAACTTAAATGCCAATAATTACTTTCCCATTTTGCGTTATCCCCTACCCTTGATCCCTCCCAAGAATAAAAAAAATGAAAAACAAAAAGAAATCCATGGTTTGACTCTTGCTTGTTTAAATAATAATAGTAATGAATAGTGTGATGTTTTAACCCAATTTTAAAAGATGGATCCTCCAACGTTCACATACGGGTTTCCCACATCTTCAAATTCAAATTTCTGACCCATAATCGTAAATACCTCCTGATCCATGCCCTTTTCCCATACACGACCCCTCTCCTCAGTCGTCGTAAACCCTATTTAAATCCCCTTTTCATCTCTCTCTCGTCTTTCAAATTTCTATCCACTATCCCAAAACCCAGATTTTTGCCAGAATTAGGGTTTCGTCCAATTAAGTTACTCAAACGATGTCGTTGAGACCAGGCTCCAGAGCTGAACTCCGTCGCGGCCGCTACAAAGTGGCGGTGGACGCCGAAGAAGGCCGCCGGAGGAGGGAAGACAACATGGTCGAGATTCGAAAGAACCGCAGAGAAGAAAGCTTGCAGAAGAAGCGCCGCGAAGGCCTGCAAAATGCATTTGTTGTTCAATCGGATACCTCTTCTGTCGAAAAAAAGGTGTAAATAAATTAAAATTTCGATTTTGTTTCTTTAAAGTTGTTGCGGATGGTTTTAACTAGGGTTGTGATCGAATTCAAATTTGCGATTGTGTTGTTTATGGGCTGGATATCCGCAATATTTTTAGTTTCGTTGTGTTTGAATAGGGCTAGGGCTTGCATTTCAGCCTTTTTCGGCAACGGGAGATTTCGGAAAGCTTAAATAATTTAACCATCAGACCATAGTTCGAATTTTATAAAGAATAAACTTTGATGGAAATTTTGAAACTTGATGGGCTTGTTTTACTTCAACAAGTAGTTGTCATAGCTTTTTTGTTCGAATTTGTTGTGTTTAAAGCTTTTAATTGCATATGTTGATTATAGGTGTGAATTTTTTTTTTTCGCTTCTATGCGTTTGATTAAGTTTTGTTACTTTGAACTTTTTTATATTGAATTGGAAAATATGTTGAGCATGTAACTCTAATGCCTGGAATGGTTATGGGTTTTGGTTGCAGCTAGAAAATCTACAAGCAATGGTTGCTGGTGTTTGGACAGATGATGGCAGTCTACAACTTGAGGCAACCACTCAATTCAGGAAATTGCTTTCCATAGGTTTGGATGCTTCTTTAGACTATTGCTATCATCATTTTTTGTTCCATATTTGATTCCTATGTTCCGGTGTTGATGTTAATGCTTATACCAGAACGAAGTCCGCCAATTCAGGAAGTGATTCAAGCTGGCGTTGTCCCTCGCTTTGTTCAGTTTCTTATGAGGGAGGATTTTCCCCAACTTCAGGTTCAAGATCGTTATTCCCCGTTCTGTATACACGGTGAAGATTAGATTAGTTTGGTGTTACATATAAATATTTTCTTCCATCCTTTGCAAATTTGTAGTTTGAGGCAGCTTGGGCTCTCACAAACATTGCTTCTGGGACATCTGAGCACACTAAGGTTGTAATAGACCATGGGGCTGTTCCCATATTTGTACAGCTTCTTAGTTCTCCCAGCGATGATGTCCGCGAACAGGTATATCTTTTACAAATGATGAAATTTCCTCTTCTGGTGTTTGTAATCAAGTTCAATGCCTTGCATTATTTTCTGGATTTTGAGTGTTGCATGATATAATTGAATTTTGTTGTTATTTATATTTTATTTCTTATTTTTCTTTGAACTACATTTAGGCTGTATGGGCTCTGGGAAATGTGGCTGGTGATTCCCCAAAATGCCGTGATCTTGTTCTTGGTCATGGAGCTCTGGGTCCTTTGCTGGCTCAGCTAAATGAGCATGCAAAACTATCAATGTTGCGAAATGCCACCTGGACATTATCTAATTTCTGCAGAGGCAAACCTCAGCCTTCATTTGATCAGGTAGTTCATTCACCTTGAATGTTTGTTCATCTCACAGCTCTTTCAATTCTACATGATAACGTGCATGCTTAGCTCTTTCAAAGCTAATTTTGTCTTTAGTGGATGCAGAGTAGGCTGCATGTCCCCCATAAGAAATTGTTTTGACACTCCCCTTGTCCATGTTGCTACATTCTTGTTTTATGACACATTAAGTAGTTGTCACCTATTACAACTTATAAAGTTGATGAGATTATTACTACTCCCGTTATTCCTACGAAATACCATCTTTTTTTAGAGGAAATAACCATGTCTTAGGTATAATGTACGTAAGGGCGCATATTTTGTGATACTAAAAGCACAATTTGCAGACAAGACCAGCTCTTCCAGTTCTTCAGCAGCTTGTGCATTCAAGTGATGAAGAAGTTTTGACTGATGCGTGTTGGGCACTCTCCTATCTTTCTGATGGGACAAATGATAAAATCCAAGCCGTCATAGATTCTGGAGTATGCCCTCGATTGGTAGAGTTATTGCTGTGAGTATCTTGTGCTCGTATTGTAAGTTCCCTTTTGAATATGTTTTCTGTGTAAAAAATATAACATTTTGGCATCTCAGGCATCCTTCTCCATCAGTGCTGGTCCCTGCTCTTCGAACAGTTGGAAACATTGTAACTGGAGATGATATGCAGACTCAGGTATCAACTAAAAGAATCTTAAGTACTTTCCTTTCTCTCTTATTACGTTTGCATATTGGTTTTTCTGCTTTTTGGGTTTTGGTCTCTGGTTTCTGGGGGATTGTGGGTTGCGGAGTATGTTGCACATAATAGTTTTCTACTTTCAAGTGAAGCTTACAGGGCAGGTCCATGCATGAAGCTCTGTTGCATAATCAATATTCACTAGTCAGAGTATCAATTAAGCTAGTCCTGTGTTCTCTTGTACCTGAATATTCACATATTTGGTTTAATGAGATGTCAAAAATTTAGCCGCTTTATATTTATGCACTTAACATATTCTTAATGACATCATAAATCAGTGAAATTATCTCCTTTTCTTGGACTGAGCCATATTTTCTATTTTTTATACAATATCTGAATAATGATTCTGGTTGCTATATTGTCATTGAG